GCCATGTATGGTGCTGCTCAAGTGTGTTAACAGTGGTGATACTGATGACTATTAGGAAGACTCATTATAGGTTACTAAGGTTACAACAGAACCTTGAACACCTTGAATAGGAGGGGCCTGTATAGATGGAGAGAGATCAAGGTAACCAATGTAATACACATTACAGAACTGGCTAAGACCCTTCAGAGGGTATAAATGTGACTACTAAGGAGTTCCAAAGTGAAAACCTACTCTTTGGAACATTAAGTTATCACTGGCCAAAGTCTCAGACCCAAAAACCCCATCCCACCTCACCACTGATGATCCCACACAGACCTAAAGTGTCCAGACACATTTTGTTAAACAGCCATTATTTTCACTACCCTGACTGTCCACCTCTGAGGCGTTGAAGGAGTTATGTGAAATAGTACATTAAATAAATCACCATCTACCGATCACCTACCATGTACTAACACCTTACATTTTCTCTTTAATTCCAATAACCGTATGAATAAGGTATTTCCCCAGATCATAACTGATACAGGTTAACTTGCCCAAACTGACAGACCTAGTAAGTGGCCAGGTCCCAAATCCGGAATTGCCTGGGCTCCATGATCGTCCCATGATTATAAGGCTTCTCAAACCTTTCCACCTAAACTCTAATAAAAAGGTAGAGAAGAATGAAGAGGCAGGCTAGGGAGGTTAAGTGGAAAGAGAAAAGTAGAACTTGATAGAAAGTTCCAAGCTATCTTTGGCAAAAACAGAATTTCTTTTGACTTCACCTTTTATCTCAATTCCATTAGCTGATTCCAGGTCTGGGGCAGAAATGCACAAGAATGAGCCTGGAAACATCTTGACATACCAGATAGCAAGGAAGCTCTATCAAAGACTACTAGAGAGCATGTCAGTAAGAATCAGGAGCCAACTTTAAGAGAGTCCCACTAGCCACAAGTGGGACAATTTGAACTTCGCTAAGGATCAGAACTGCAATGTATTGAAACCCATCAAATGTTTACATCTATGGATGCATAGTTATATATACACTTACATGTGTAACCTTTTGAAGATGACAGGAAACCAATTCATCATCTTGAAAGCAATGTTTAAAAAAATTGAGTATTTATCCTGCTCTTCCTATATAAACTATATTGCTGAGTAACCAAATAAAACATAAGGGAAAACATAAAATTATTCCAGCTAACAGATGAAAACAAAATGATAGCATTAGAACGTCACCATTTTGTAGCCCCCCCCAACAAATTAATGGATCCAAAAAATTCAAGTCATCACAACATAGTCAACGTTGTGAATGAACACCTTCCCCCCACCCCCCAATGTATTTGCCAAAGGGAATGAACCTGAAATTTATCAAGCCTCTAGATCCAGCTGCCAATTTGCAGGAAATAGAGAAGTATCACCTGGGAACTTATCAGAAATGCAAAATCTGGGGCCCCTCCTAGATCTACAGAATCAGAAACTCTGGGAGTGGGGACCAGCAACCTGTCTTAGGAAGCCCTCTAGGTGATTTTGATGTTCCCTAAAGTTTCAGAACCATTGTTCTAAGCACTTTATATGCACTAATTCAGCTAAACTTCTTCGGAACTCTACAAGGCAGGCAGTACTATCATCATTTTACAGATGAAGGACTGTGTGGCACAAAGCGGTTAAGTAATTTGCACAACATGGCGCACCTGGTAAGAAATGGGAGTCAGAACTTGAACTCTGTGAATCTAGCTCCAGAGTTCATGTTCTTAATCGTTGTGCTGAAAGGTCTTTCCACCTATAAGAACTCAATTGTCAGAATGCCGTAATAAAGAATAGTGGAAGTTTGGAAAAAAAAAAAAAAAAGGAACCAGGAGAAATATGCCTCACTACAAAATAGACAGGCATATAAGGAAATAATCATAGCAAATAATGTACCCAAAGTAATTTTCCAAAATCATTCCAAAACATAAACAGCCACCAAATGCAATATACCCAAGCACTGCTGGGGCAATTATCTCTGATATCTAATCACAAGGACCTAAAACCTGGGTTGTGCTAAAGGTGGTACATAAATTCATGACAGTATCTTCAGATTCACCCATCTTTTAAATCTAAATGGTTATAGTGAAAGGTCATTCCAGAATAATTCATCTCCCTACTTTTAGTCACCATTTACTTAATGACTACTGAAAGAAAAAACTGCTGTCTTTCAATACCTAAGATTACACAATCAGAATATCAAGAGTTGAAGAATTTTAACATTCATCTAGTTCGATCAGCAGTCCAGACTGAATCAGATCTACAATCCCAATCTCCATGTAATGGTACATTCATAATAAATTAAAACATTCCAACTTTCTGTAAAATCACATTATGGGATCACTCTATGCCACCAACTGTAATTTTTAAAGCCAAATGACTAAAAACTTTTAAAGAGAACTTAAAAGTTGAAAATGCTCAGGTTAACAGCCCAAACAAAACCTACAGTTGTTTTACTCATAGAGCCACTTCTTCACTACCTGTAAGGATTTCTATATCCAGAAGACCAAGCTGGTCAACAAGTACATCAACTTTTAACAACTCAACACCTATGACACATCAAACGACTTAAAAGTTGAATTATTCCTGACATTAACATATATAAACATCTAGTAATCAGTCATTGAGGAAACAATAATACAGCAAAACACCAAAAGCCCAAGTACTTATATCAACCTTATAGATAGCGAGATCATTGTAAAGCAGTCTAAAATGGTTACAACTACACAACAATCAACAACTTAGTCTTACTCCAGAAGAGGTAACATGGAATGTGAAGGACAAATATTTTCAAAGCAACCAAGTTTGGCATTTCAATAACACTTTGAACTCATGGTTGAAAACACACAACAGAAGAAAAAAAAAAAACACCAACAGCATTTCCATTGTAAATCTGCAGCTAAGAATTGTGGGAAAAACTCAAATACTGGAACGCCTACTGTGTGCAAAAACTCTATGAACAATTGAATTATCCTAGTTTCACAAATTCAGGATTAAGTGATTTCGTCCAAACTTCCTAACTACAGAAAACTCAAGGCTAAGTATCTAATCACTATATCCAACGTGCCTCAAATTATTTTTGTTGAATTCACGAATTTACCGCAACTCCCAAGAAATCACTTCATATTTAATCAATTTTCAACCAGTGATTTATTTCTCCATTAATGAACAAATAATTGAAAAGGCCTGAATTCATGATCCATAGCACTTGGTTGATTCACAATCATATTTCATCTAAATACTTCAAAAACTTTCACTTGTTACTTCTACCCTCCCTGCCCCTTGAAATTACTCTCATTTTAAAGGCAGGCACAAGTGTGGCCTTGCTCTGCCCGTTTGTGCCTAAGTCAAAGGCTGACTAGAGCCTAATGGGTCCAATTTCCATTCTTAGGTTTTGGCCATGGAAGGGACACAGGGTAGATCCCAGAATGGGCAATGCTGCACAAGGAAAGAAATGAACAGTTTAAAGGAATTTATGCTAAGGAAACACAAATTTCAGATGAAATGAAATGAAAAATCACAGTAGGAAAACTAAGGTTGTGTATAATAGCTGAAAATCAAGATGTAAGTAGAAGCTCTCAAAAATTGTTTTAGTATTGCCATTTCAAGAACTGTGTGACAGCCACGAACTCATTATTAGGTCTTAATAGCTTAGAAGTTATGGGTCAGAACAGCTGAGATACTAAAATCAAAAGAATAAAAAGCAACATTATAAAGTAGTATAAAAATAACTAAATCACCTAAGGAAATTGAAACCATGCATGAAAAACCCCAAAGGCACAATCAGGTCATTAGGAAACACTAGCTTCTTCCACCAGGAGGCCTACTTTTCATGTGGAGCAATAAGCAAGGCCAAGACATGGAACTGAAGTCAGGTATCAAATCAGACTTTGCCACAGAAAAAGGAATCCATGACTAGTTATTTTAGGATAGTGCCTAGGACAGCACTATCAACTCCAACTGGGATACAGGAGATTATAGCCATTGTTCCCTTATAATGGGTCCTCCAGGGTCTTTAATTTAGCAAGAATGGGTTAGACAACACTACTGGGCTGTAATCCCCAAATATAGGGAGCAGGAAACTATATATAGGACAATTTCTTCAACAAACAAATTGGAAGAAAAAAAAACAAAAAAGACAGAATCTGCAGATTAAAATAGATTTAAGGGCTGTATCAATGCTTTGCAATAAATGTGCTTTCTCAGGATCCTGATTCAAACTGTAAAAGAAAAAAAAAACAGAGCTTAAAAAAAATCAGAGAAATCTGAACATTTTATATTTGATATTTTTAAATATTTGTTAATTTTTTCAGTTGTGATAATAGTTTTGATCTTATATTTAAAGAGCCCTTGCCTTTTAAAAATACAAACAAGTATTTTACAAATAAGTATGACAGGGATTTATTTCAAAATAATCCATTGATGGGGGCAGTCGTTAGAAGTATAGATGAAACAGGCTGGGCATGGTGGCTCACGCCTGTAATCTCAACACTGTGGAAGGCCAAGAAGGGAGGATGGCTTGAGCCCAGGAGTTTGTGAGCAGCCTGGGCAACACAGTGAAACCCCATCTCAATTTTAAAAAATTAAAAAAAAAAAAAAACAGAAGCATAGATGAAGTAGAATGTGCAAGTTGATACTATTAGAGCTGGTGATGGGTAAGCGGGGGGATTTTTACACTATTCAATTTTTGCATGTTTGAAATTTTTCATAACTCTTTAACAAGAATTGGTTAGACATAATGCCTTGCAATTTTATTTTCTGAATGATGCCTAGGGTGATTTAAAAAATCATGTACAGACATCATTCATTTAAACAATTTCCTTTAATGCAGTAATGAGCTCCACTTTAACAAAAGAAGCAACCAGTACCACATCAGATCCAGAAAATGGAAGAAACCAAAGTAGCTCAATTACAGAATGGGAATACATCCACCCCTACTATCTCCATTCCAGGAAGTAAAATACAAATACTTCCCACAGAGATTTACAAAAACTAACCTAAAATCACAGCCAATCATACTCATCCTGGTGGGAAATTCCCCACACTGCTCCAACAGCTTCCCGAACCTTCCTGACCAAGTTGGCCTGCTGGTTTCTCTGGATCACTAACCCACTCAGGTCAGGCTACTGGAGGACCTACAAAAAATAAGTTGGGGGAGAGGAGTGAGATACACAACACATTTATTAGTATGTGTGAGGAGGGTTAACCATTCTATTATGTTCAAACATAGCCAGTTATTATTTCTAAAGCAATAGTCCTTACATATCTATTTGCATTTTTTAGTACCTGCTTTGAGAAGTAACTGAAGAATTCAGAACCAACAACTGTAATACTTCTAACACTTAGACTAACATTCCTGCAAACAACTCAGTTCAACCCAAACGAAATTACAGAAGTCACTTTATTTTTTAGACAAGTTTCTACCCTCAATATAAACTAACACTAAGGATATATTTGCTTTATTGTTTCTGTGAAAAAAAAAAAAACTGTACATATAAAAATTATTCTTCACCTTCATACATGCTTTTTGGCCATACTGGGAGACAAACGATAAACATCCTGGCAACTCAGGTTGAACTTTGCCATTGAACCTTAGACAAAGTTTTTATTTGGTATTGTCACTCCTTCCTCTCTTCTCAGAGATCTACCTAGAATAAATTAAACTTTTAGGTCACACCTAGATTATCATTCCCAGATTTATTCTAATGCTCAATAAGGGTCAAACTGAAATTGAGGTTTAGTAAATTTGTGATCACTGCTTAACCCACTGTAAAATGCACCAATGCAAAATCTCAAAACAAAAAGTGATCTCCTGCCCTCCAATGAAAATGGGAGAAAATTTTATTACCTACAAACCACTTCAAATTAAATAAAGCAGACCCTGAAGTTCAAAACTACAGTCCACATACAGCTAATCGTGGGATGGTTACCTCCCGCAAATTTTAAATCCTAGTAAACTTTTCACCACCATGTTTCTACTTCAATTCCCATCACCCAGCCGAAGTAAAATAATGGGAATAGTTGTGCTTGTATTAAACGGTTGTTGCTAGAATTAGTTAAAAAAAAAAATTGTAAAATGTTACACTTTAATATTGGTCTAATCAATATATTAACAGTAAGGAAGCCTGTAATTTCAGCACTTTGGGAGGCTGAGGCGGGCAGATCACAAGGTCAGGAGATCGAGACCATCCTGGCCAACGTGGTGAAACCTCGTCTTTACTAAAAATACAAAAATTAGCTGGGCATGGTGGCACACGCCTGTAGTCCCAGCTACTCTGGAGGCTGAGGCAGGAGAATCACTTGAACCCAGGAGGCGGAGGTTGCAGTGAGCCGAGATCACGCCACTGCACTCCAGCCTGCCGAGAGCAAGACTCCATCTTAAAAAAAAAAAAAAGGAAAACTTTATCCAAATCAACTATAGTCACATCTGTTTAATAAGTACGTTAGAAAATATAAAATGGCAATAACACAACAGGAAATAGTGTATTAAAGAGCCAGCAGTAATTCGCTATGGAAAAGAAGCTTGGTATTTCAAATGATCTTTCTCTCTTAGATAGGAATTATCTTGCTCAGGTAAGAAGATGCCAAACAGCAGATCCCCACACTGATCTGAGGAACCAAACAAATGAGGGAAGGGAAAAGTAGCATGAATACTTGAAATCTAGCTAACAGAAGTTCCTTTTACCACTGTGAAATGCATGGCACCAAATTACTTTTGTAGAGTGAATGACAGGACGGACTGCCTTTGGAGGAGTGGAAGAAATGAGTAGGCAGGGCATGAGGCACCCCTTCCAAAAGGTAGAACACTTGGGTGTGGTTCTTGACAGGAACATTATGGCTGGTGGTCATTCCAGGATAGTGATTACGCACTGAAATTCCTAGACCATTAGAAGGAAACAAAGAGTGGGAATCACGTTCAAACATCATGAACCATTGGAGATAAAAAGTTTGGCCTATGAGGAAAAAAACATAAGTTATAGATCTGGCCTAGAAATATACCAAGAATGTACAGTTAAAGAAACAAAAATGTCTTATTCTTTCCAGGTCATAAAAGTAGCACATGACACAGGTACATCTACCAATACATTCTTACACCAAAAAGTAATCTTAATTTATCATGTGCCTACCATGAGTTAAGACATTTTACTTTTTTTTTTTTTTTTAAACTAATTCTAGCAACAACCCTCTAAGGTAAGCACAACTATCCCCATTATATAGATGAACTGAGAATCTGAAATTTTGCCCAAGGTCACAAGGTTCAATGTGAACCCAAAACACACACTATTAATTCCACCATACCAGGCCGTGCCTATGACTGGGGAATGTTGGTATCTCCTCAATCTATGCAACACTGGGGCTAAAACAATGCTGAACATGTAATCTACAAAGGAGAAAAAAATGATAGGAAATTAACTGCCTACAGTAACGGTGGCATGGGGGGTAGAGAAAATAAAGACAGGGCAGATTGAGGGGCAGGACAATCAATGCTGTTTTCTAGTAAATGGAAGGGGTAAAATGTAGGGGAGCCTGAGAGGAGGGTTATCTTCCTTCTAGGGGATTCAGCTCCTGGAAAAGGAGTATGGGGAGTGGGGGATAGAAAGATTAAGAAGTGAGAAGCAGGTAAGAGGTACTCAGCAGCAAAAACAGATGTCCACAGACCAAGAGGCTCCTGGAAACTCAGAGCAAGGCAGGGAAAAGGGGCGGTTCCCAGGCTTGCAAGGGAAATGGAAGTGGGATGAAGACAGAAAGCGGGCTTACTGGAGGGTTATCCTCTACAGCCTTTTGAGGGGGAGGAATGAGGAAGGGAAGGCTAATGGCCATAAACGAAAAGGCCACTTAAACTGCAATATCCAACCACCGACCCGTTCAAACTTTCGCTTAACAGTGGTTTAGCAGCATGCAGAGCTAAGAAATCCGGATCAGAGTCATACAAACATGAAGACTTGAGGAAATGGAAGGCTACTATGGCTCCATCCACAAAGATGGAGTAAATGCAGGCAACAGGATAGGCTCTATTCAACGCCTGCGCCAAGGGGACCAATGGAAGGGGGAGACGAGGCGGGCTAGGGGACTCAGGCTAACCTCGAATTTAGAAGAACTGGGGAAGGAGTCACAGGAAAAAGCTTTGACTTCCCCCTCCCTTAAATACGAACCTCAACTATCCACGTAGATGAAGATTAGATGGGACGATAGAATTAGGAGGGGTGTGGGGAGAGGAGGAGTACGCCAGTGACACTACTGCTTGACCCCTAAGCCTTAGCTCTAAAACCGCGGGAGTTGGCGAAGATGACCCCACCTCGAGAAAAACCAGGGTACTCATCCGGGTCGTCGGAGGTGCTGAGAACGGAAGCTGGCCGGCAGAAAAGGTAGGGGATAGGGGCCAGTCGTCGTTGGTTGCTCCTCTCTTTCCCACCGTTCAATTTAACCCCCAACCCCACTCCACAGCGAACTCCAGACTCCCCTCCCACCCTTCCCAATCCGCCCACTGCGGCGGCGACAACGGAGGCGTTGACCGATCGGTGGAGCAAAGGCGGGCCCACACGCGGCCGAGGCCCGGGAAATGGTGTCGCCTCAACGGACTAGAAACTAGGTGGTCTTCGCCTCAGGTCTGGTTTACCGGCACCCCGGCGTTTCGCCAATCGTCACCTCCTTAACGCTGCGTACCTCAGAGGCGTCATAAAGGCAGATAGCCAACACCTCTGTGCTGGGTCCTGGCCGGACAGACATCAGCCTCCGCCGCCATCTTAACAGCAGGCGGACCGACCCTAGTCACTGCCCCCCCCACCCCTGAGCTACCTCAGCCACCGCCAACGAATCCCACGAGGACGTAACCCCGCTCCCGCGAGAATTCTCCGGCTTAGAACGGCACGAGCCGAAGACCTTGCCGCCGCCTCCGCGGCTACCGCAGTCAGTAGCCGAGCCACCGCCGCTTCCGCGCGATCCCGCGAGAGCCTCTACCGGACGGGAAAAGCCTGAGCCCAGCCCTTTCCAGACCCCTCCTCCCTCCCACCAAAGCCGAAGTAGCTACAGCTTCACCCTACGCGAAGCCAAAAGCAAATGACGCACAACCTAACGAAGCAGTGAGGGGCGGAGCCAACCTACCAGGGCCGGCTCCCGCATGCGTTGAGAACTATCGCGATATTACGCTTTAGCTCGGCGAGACCTTCTTAATTCACCGCAGGATGCCGCCCGCGCCTCGCCTTTAGGAAACATAAGATATCGCGAGACCTGGTGCACACTCCTAAAAAGGAGAAAGGCGGGGCTTCGTGAAAATGACTGGGAGTTTTTCGGGGGAAGGGAGGAACCTCCCGTCCTGCAGGGATCTCGCCTACCACGAGGTTTCCGACCCACTGCGGAGCTGGCTGCCAAACCTCGCGATGACACAGCTCAGCGCCAAATCTCGGCCATGTCCTGAAAACTGCCTCCGCCCCCGATCTAGGTGTCTAGAGCCTAGTGCTTGAGGAAAATTTAAAAAGTCAACCTGTTTATTCTCACGCTTCCGGGCAAGGCTGTACCAATTAGCCAAACTCCATTCTGGAAGGGGAGCAAAGAGTCCCCCATTGTTACCTGTCTCCAGGAATAACATATTTTCCTGGACTAACATTTAAAAGACGTTCAATCCCACAGTAAGCACATAAATGCAAATGAAAACAATGACATAACATTTTTTGCCCATTAGATAGGGAAAAAAATTCTTAAACCTGTATTATCCAGACTCCTTCCCTCGCCGCACTGCAGGCTAACCTGAATCCATCTTAATCTAACTAAAGACCATATCATTAGTTCTAGTTCCAAAGTCACCAATTTTAACTACTGAAGCTTTACCTTGGCATAACCAAAAAGATTCAATAAAGTGGTTTTCTCCAAACAAAGGAGTCTGCCCTCAAAGGAATATTCAAGCTTCGGGGATGGGGGGGAATGCCTGAATATGGCAGTTTTTCCACGTCTAGCCAACAGTGTTTCTCCAACAAATCTTGGGATCCAATCTGGCTCGATTTGTGGGCTTTTCCATTCTAATGCATTGTTCTGTCCGTTCTAATTTAAATAGTTCCTTTAGAGTACATTTTAATAGCCAGTAGTACAAATATCCCTATTTAAAACTTACGTTTTAAAATATTTTTTCAGTTATTCTTAGCCATTTTTCCCCCAGATGAACTTTAGAATCATAGTAAGTTCCAAAAAAACTTGGTATATTTATTGAAATTGCATCAACTGTATAAACCAATATAGGAAAAATGGACATCACTACAATATTGAGCCTTCTTATTCAGAAGCATAGTATTCCTTCTCCTTTAATGCAGATGTTCTTTTATGGTATTCGTCAATAAAGTTTTATAGTTTACTTCCAGGTATTTTTATTCGTTTCTCTTGCGAACAGGTTTTTTTATTATTAAAATTTCAAAATGCTTATTGCTTATAAATAGGAAAACTGCCTATCTAAACTATTGATATTTGCCTATTTACAAACAAAAATATGATCAATTTCACCAGTAATCAGGGAAATGCAAATGAAAACAATGACATACGATTTTTTGCCCTTTAAATTGGCTAAAATTACAAAGACTGATAATACGTGTTGGCATAACTGTGGAAAAATAGGCACTCTCGCACAACATTAAAGAGTGTAAATTAGTACAGGCTTTTGGGAAGGCAATTTGGACAAATGTATAAAAATTCAAAATGCATATACACCCTGACCCAGCGATTACTCTTCTAAGAATTTATCCTACAGAAATACTCATACATGGCATGATATATATACACAAACCCATTCATTATGGCATTGCTTGTAATAGTCCCCTCCCTCCCCCAACAGAGAAACAAGCTAATGTATATCAATCGGGAAATGGTTAAACTGTAGTACAATCATACAATGCAGCTGTTTAAAACCCGACATAAATTTGGATTCCCGGATATAAGAAGATCTACAAGATATATTCTTAGATTTTTAAACAAGCAATTAGTCGAAATGAATGTGTGTGAGTATGTGTAGTACCATTTAGATACCAAAACATATATATGCAACGCCTAGTAGTTACCCGCGAAGCCTGCCTGCCCGCCCCTCACCTTCCCTCTCCTCTGAGGCCGCCTTCCTCGAACCAGTGAGAAATGCTGAAGGCCCGGCCTCTACTCCCTCTTTAGGGCCACTTGGCCATGGCTAATGCCGGTACCTCGCATCCCCTCTGTCAGTCGCTCTCTCGCCGCGCCGCCGGCCGCTGCCCGGCTGCCCCCGAAGATGCGGCTAGCTCTCTGCTGGCGCCGGCCGAGGCCTGGGGGAGGGGAGAGGAGGCGGGGTTCAGGGAGGGTTGGGGCAGGCCGCCCAGCCCCTCCAGCAGCCTTTCCCGCAGGCTCCCCAAGGCCGCCACCTCCGCGCCTCCGCGCAGGGTCCCGTGGGAACTCCCCCCCCCCAACCTCGCCACTGCCACCCGCGAGAAGCCGAGAACGGCCGCGCGTACAGAGCTCGCTCCCCAGTCCAGGGATAGACGCTCACCTCGGCCGCAATGGCTCCGCGGGGCCCGCAGGAGCGTGCGGGGTCCGCGGCCCTGCTTCAGCCCTGCTTCAGCCCTGCTCCAGCCCTGCTCCCCTCGCTAGCCCTCAGTCGAAAGCCTCCTCGCTCCGGCTCAGCTCAAACTCGATTTGGGGCTCCACCCACCGCACGCGAAGCCCCGCCCCTGCCCCTCGGGAGGGAGCTCCCTCCGCGGTGAAGCTGGGTCCCTTGCAGGGGACCGCGCCTGAGCTACCCGAGGCCCAGTAAACGCAACCATAGAGGATGATAGGGTCGCTAAGAATTGGGATTTGATTCGAGGCACGGTGGAAGCCGTGGAAGAGAACATGATTTGATCTGATTTACCTTTAAAAATTAACGACCTCGCCAGATGCCTTGTGAAGAATGGGGAGTGTGGGGCAAGAGGGCAAGCCTGGACCCAGAGCGGAGGGTGGGAGACGACGTGGGACGCCAACCACCCAGAGTTCACGCGAGCAAACCCTTAAAACACTTCAGGCACATAGTAAGCCCTCAATAAACATTCTCTTTTTCTCCTTTGCTTATTTGGAACGGCAGTGCGATTGACAAGGATCCTGTAGAGGATCTGCATCTGTAAATACATGGGAATAAAAAGGACCCGGTAGGAGATCCCCTGTTAACCCTACTTAATTATTGTGGGCTGCGGACGACATTGGAGGGACGAGGGACTTTGACTTGGAACTCTAGCTACTTCGATAAGGTTTCACTTTTTAATAAAAAGTATGTATTAATTTAGTATTTAAAGACAAAAGCACTATTAAAAGAACTCCTGAGACATCGAGGAAATAAAAACTGTAATTATACCCTCCACTTCTCTGATTCCAGCCCTCCAGAGCAGTGGTTCATCCCTCGAATTGAGAATCTGCTGAATGGATCCCCCACCCCAATGTATACTTACACATAATATTTTGTATATGATCTCAGGAGATGTACAGGGCCCCTTCGAGATACATTGTTGCTTTAAATATTTTTACTTTTTTTTTTTTGAGACAAAGTGTCACTCTGTCACCCAGGGTGAAGTGCAGTGGCATGGTCACGGCTCACTGCAGCCTCGACCTCCTGGGCTCAAGGATCCTCCTGCCTGCCTCCGTCTCCCAAGTAACTGGGACTACAGGCATGCGCCACCACGCCTGGATAACTTTTTATTTTTTGTAGAGACGGGGTCTCACTATGTCGCCAGGCTGTTCTCAAACTCCTGGGCTCAAGCAGTTCACCCGCCTCCGCCTCCCAAAGCGCTGGGATTACAGGCGTAAGACACCGCGCCCGGCCCATCTATAACATTTTAGTGGCAACATGAAACTATACTTTCTTTAGCATGTAATTAACTTTTGTTCTTTTTTCATTTTAAAATTGGTTTCCTAATTACACAAGATTATTGTAAAACACGGATAAATTTAAAGTTCCCCTTACATTCGTATACACAAATAGAAAAGCATGACTTTGTTTTTGTTTTTCATTTAAAAAACGAATAGCATCCTATGTATTGTTCTGTTAATTGCTTTATTCACTTAATGTAGCTTGAAGATCTTTCCATGTCAATATATATAAATCTACCTCATTTATCTTACCGACTGCATAGTATTCCATTGAATGAATATACTGTAATCATTCACCTATGGATAAACACATGTTATTTTCCATCTTTGACTATTACAGTGGGGTTTTTTTCCTACTATTAACAATGCTGCAATAAAATTCCTTGTACATGCTTTTTTCTGCAGATGCTAAAGTATTTCTGTGAGATAAACATGGAGAAATGAAATAGTTGGATAAAGGTAGCACATTTTTTTTCTTTTTTTAAGACAGTGTCTCACTGTCACCCAGGCTGGAGTGCACTGGTGCGATTAGGGCTTACTGCAGCCTTGACCTCCAAGGCTCAAGCGATCCTCCCACCTCAAGCAATCCTCCTGCTTCAGTCTTCCCGCGAGTAACTGGGACTACAGGCCTGTGCTATCACGCCTGGCTAATGTTTGTATTTTTTGTAGAGATGAGATATCACTACGTTGCTCAGGCTGGTCTCAAACTCCTCAGCTCAAGTGATCCTCCTGCCTTGGCCTACCAAAGTGCTTGGATTACAGGCGTGAGCCACTGTGCTCTGCCCAAAGATAGTCCATTTTGAAATTTTAGTACATAATGTCAAATGACAATTGCCACGTAGAACGACTATTTCAGTTTATACCTCCACTAGCAGTGAGTAAGAATTACCATTTCCCTAAATTCTTACCCGGACTCGATATTAACCAATCATTTTAATATTTTTCCAATATAATGGGTGAAAAATGTCTCATTATTTACATTTCCCTGATTATTAGCTAAGGAGTATTTTCTTTCTTTCTTTCTTTCTTTCTTTCTTTCTTTCTTTCTTTCTTTCTTTCTTTCTTTCTTTCTCTTTCTTTTTTGTGACAGTCTCACTCTGTCTCCCAGGGGCATGATCACGGCTCGCTGCAGCCTCGATCTCTTGGGCTCAAGGGATCAAGGGATCTTCTCGCCTCAGCATCCCGAATAGCTGGGACTACAGGTACAAGCCACCATGCCTGGCTAAATTTTTTTTGCAGGGGGAAAGTGGGGAACAAGACGAGGTCTCACTATGTTGCCCAGCCTTGTCCCAAACTCCTGGCTCAAGTAATCCTCTCCAATCCGCCTCAGCCTCCCAAAGTTGTTGTTTCAGGCATAAGCCACTGCGCTGTGCCCCAAGAGATTTTTACTATTTTATTATGAACGTTTTCAAACATAGGACAACGTTGAAAGAATTTTACATCTGCATACCCACCACATTGATTTCACCATGTTTTGTTATAACTGTACTACATATATATCATTTATCTATCCACCAATCAAGCCATCTTATTTTTATGCATTTCTCTTTCTCAGTTAACTAAACTCTCTAGAGTTTATTCTGTTGATATTTTCAAAGAACTATTTCTTAGATTTATTTTTCTAGTCTACCATTTTTCCCTATTCTCTACTTAAGTTATTATTTTCAGCTTTCATGTTTATTAATATCTTCCTCCAGTTTTCTCTAAGTTTATTTTTTTCAGTGTTTTACTTCATATGAAGTGCTCTCATTCTCATTAATTTCTAGTTTATAATTTTAGGTTTGATTTCTTCTTTGACCATGAGATATTTAGAAGTATTTTCTTTGTGAGATGACTCAAATTTTTTCTTATCTGGATGTTTTTGTGGTTAGAGGTTAGCTGTACGGCACTGTGTTCCATTAATGTGACTTTTATTATTTCTACTATCGGAAATGCATTGTGCTTTCTTTAATGACTCAGTACCTGATCAATCTTGGCAAGAGTTGCATAGGCTTTTTTTAAAACTTTATAGCGTACAACTTATGTGCTTTTGTAACTGTTTTCTTCATACATTTAATGGAATATTGTTTGCTATGTATGTTTATGACAGAAGATAGTCTTGGTAGATAGTCTCTTTTTTTCTTTTTTTAGAGACAGGATCTCACTCTGGTGCCTAGAGCTAGAGTGCAGTGGCACAATCATAGCTCACTGTCACCTCAAACTCTTCAGTATCTCTCTTTACCCTGTTTAAAGTTTTTTTTTTTCCTTGAATGCCTGCTTTCTTGCTTTCTTTCTTTCTTTCTTTCTTTCTTTCTTTCTTTCTTTCTTTTTTTTTTTTTTCCTTTTTTTTTTTTTTTTTTTTTTTTGAGACACAGTTTCACTCTGCCGCCCGGGCTGGAATACAGTGGTGCGATCCTGGGTCCCTGCAACCTCTGCCTCCCCAGTTCAATTGATTCTCCTGCCTCAGCCTCCTTAGTAGCTGGGATTACAGGCACACGTGCCACCACACCCGGCTAATTTTTGTATTATTAGCAGAGATGGGGTTTCACCATGTTGACCAGGATGATCTCAAACTCCTGACCTCAAGTGATCCACTCACCTCAGCCTCCCAAAGTGCTGGGATTACAGGTGTGAGCCACCGTGCCCAGCCTGAATACCAATGTTTCTAATATTCATGCTGTCATTTTTATATATATAAATATCTTTCTTTTTAACTGATTACATACAGAAGATCAGACAAACCCATAAATTATTCGAATAGAGTTAATGGCATGATGTATATTCTTTCAGATCTTTTTCTATATATACATTTACACCTATATTACAATGCAGATTTTTTAAACCAAAAAAGGAGAAATAATGATATATTTAAGTTTTGCAACTTGCCTTATTGACAATGCATTCTTGAAATTCTTTCTGTCAGTGTCTATATGTTTACCTTATTCTTTTTAATTAATCTCTGGAGCTAGCACACAGTGCCTGGCCCATCACTTGTTTTTTTAAAAAAATTAAATATTGCTTCAGAGAAGCCTTCCTTGACCCCCCCCAAAAACTGGATCAAGGCCCACTGTAATACGCATTCATAATACTCTGCTATTTTCCTCCCACACCACCCAAAACAATTATACAATTGTGTGATTAACATCTGTTCCCCCCAACCCTACATACACACACCTCACACCTCTACACTGAACAGTGAGCTCCTCGGAGGCAGGGACCAAGCCTGTTTTTGTTCCTACTCATACCCCACCACCTATTACAGTGCCTGGCAATTGTATCTGTTCAATAAATATTTTTGATGTGATTATGCCCATTTTACAGGATAGAAAGCTGTGCTAACTTAAGTAACAGTTGTCCTATAAGAAATCCCCTGAGGCTACTCAGAAATAAATAGAGGTAACAACAGATTATGAGTGTCTTAACATGCCAATACATAAAAGATTTACCTTATTTTTAAATTATTCACATAGAGTAGATATTCCTTTGGATTGTTACTGAGTTTTCATTATTATAGAGAGTGCTGAAATGAACATTCTTGTAGAAATAGCTTTATACATGTTTGTACTCCTATAAGATAAATAAATAGAAATTGAATTCCTGCAAAGGGAATGCACATTCTGCAATTGGATAGATATTGCCAAATTGCCCTCCAAAAGAGATTATGTGAATTTATATTTGTAGTACCCAAGTATGAGAGTGCTTTTCCCCCCATACCCTTGCCAGAGCCATGCATTTTCACTAATTTTTTTCTTTGGTAATCTGATACTTACAAAATGATATGTCATTCTTTGCATTTTCATATCTTTGATTTTTGGCAAGGTTGAATGTCTTTTAATTAGTTTCTTGGCCATTTGTATTCTTCTTCTTTTAAATGCATAGCTTGTTTGTATATTTTGCCCATGTTTTTTGTTGAATAGT